CTGGCTCTGCTGTCAGAGTCATCCTGTTCGATTATAGAAAAGCATTCGACCTTATCGATCATGCTTTACTGGCTGATAAATTTCCAATTTAGCTATTCCACGTGCGGTTGCTCGCTGGACAATCGATTTTTTGATGAATCGAAAGCAGAGAGTGAAATTATCCAATGACTGTTATTCGAAGTGGGGTGATGTACTCTCCGGTATCCCTCAAGGTACAAAATTAGGGCCCTGGCTATTTTGTTTAATGATAAACGATCTTGATATTTGTGATATATCGAGGTGGAAGTTTGTTGATGACACAACAGTTGCTGAAGTAGTTAGTAAGGACACAGAGAGCCGTGTTCAAGTCGCAGTTGATGTTGTGGAAGATTGGTCGAAGGCAAATAGGCTATCTCTTAACACTGAGAAATGTAAAGAACTGAGAATCGATTTTAAAAGAATTAAACAACATTTTGATCCTGTACTGGTGGGTGGAGAAGCATTGCCTATAGTTGAGAGTGCAAAAATATTGGGTCTTGTTATGACAGGCACACTTCAGTGGAAAGATAACATCAGAGAAAGTATAAAGAAAGCTAATAAACGCCTCTATTTTATAGTACTATTGAAACGGGCAAGCGTAAATGTCAATGATGTCTTGAACTTTTATTGTACAGTGATCAGGCCTGTGCTCGAGTATTGTGCGCAAGCCTTCCATCATTCCATCCCAAAGTATTTGGCAGACGAACTTGAGACTGTTCAGAAACGTGTGCTAAAAATTTTATCTCCTGAAATGTCATATTGTGAGGCCCTTGAGTATTTTAGACTGCCTACTCTATTTCAAAGAAGAGAGGACATGTGTGACAAACTCTTTACGAGTATCATCAAGGATCCAATGCATAAACTTCATCATCTGCTGCCCCCGAAGAACGAGACTGATTATTCTTTCAGGACGAATCGGTATTTTAATATGTACGTTACACGCACGAACCGCTTTTATAACTCTTTTATCCCTGCTATGAGTAGGAAGTTTGTAGGATAGATTTTATGCTTATTTTAATCGAATTTTGATCGTGGGTGGGTTTTTATAATATTGTATTAATAATATATTTATATGTAGTGCATGTGATAATATGTAATCCACGCAATTCAGCTTCTGGCTGCAATGTGGTTTCAATTTAATAATAATAATAATAATAAATACTCACCGAGATTCCTTCAAAGTCCATAGAGATCATACGCTCTCTCAGTTTTTGTGTCAAATCGAAGTAATCGTTTCTGGCCTTCTCTGTGTCAAGTTGTTGCATTTTGCCAGCATCTTCTAGAGAGGCATTTAAACTTAGTGCCAAAAGCCACGCTGTATCGAAGGCTATTGAAGATCGCAGACCAATTCTAAAATGACGAGCACGCATTCTTCTTTTGTAATCTGATACGGTCTGGAAATGGTAAAGGAGCATTTTTTTTATTTAAACATATATGGAATCAATTTATCTCATATTGCTTTATTTTGCTCACATGATAATACTGGATACCTGGTGACTTATATTGACTGGACCAAAATTAATTCTAAAGTCCGTAATGTAAACAAACGCTTTGTTTACATTTTGAACTCAGTGCTACAGTTGTAAAATATGATTAGATATATATTATACTGAATTTTTAACACTCTTCCGGTTCGCTATGCTTGTAAATGAATGCAGACTAGAGATTCAATTCAAGAAAGTTCGGAAGGTGCGAAATATTAACAACATTCCATCGTAGGAGATGTCTTTTCGAATCCGACTATGAGGACTGGACTAGATTTCAAGTTCTCACATTTTGACCCAGTCCTCGACTTCGCCTCGGCCTTGATCAAATTGCGCACGGACTTGAAATCTAGTCCAGTCCTCATAATCGGATTCGAAATATTACTAGTAATATTTAAGAGGCAATTTTTTTCAATGTCACGTATTTGCAATGAAAAGTGTTCAAAACCTAAAATCGTTTTGGCGTTCCTCTCAAAATTACTTTGTTTTAGCTTTATTCTCTAGTTTATACAGTTAGCTACCTTTTTAAATGCATCTGCCGGTTGAGAAACATAAAATAATAGTTAAAAATTGTCAATGAGAATACAATTATCGAAGATGCTTTAAAATTGACGCCATATTTACAGCCATATAAACAAAACTTACTGAACTTCAGACATCATTTTCTCTTTGGCGTATCATCTAAAATCTTTTCATTTTAGCATTATTTTACTGAGATAAAGCACTAAACATACTTTTTAAGTTTGTTTGCCGATTGAGAAACGTATCGAAAAATAAAAATTTTGAATTTAGTCATAACCTCAAGTGGTCTTTATACGCATTAGTTTTGAGCGCGTGTTACGTAACATACAAAAAAATCTCCTCTAGTATATAAATATGTGTTTTGTAATATTAGCAAACCTCTTTTGGAGATCAGCTGTGTGTTGAAAAGATTAGTGTGTTTAAGTATAGGTAATCGGTAATGAAATTTTGATCTAGACAAGTCTGGACAAAAAATTCATCACAGCTTGAAAGAGCATCACAAAATTAGTAATATTCCAAATTTTCTTTTTAAAATGTTGTAAAATGCGGATAATATAGCCTTGCGAAGTTTGTAATTTTCAGTCATTTAGATTACAAATGGGAAATTGATAATCAGATGATCAAACTGATTATCAATTTCCCATTTGTAATCTAAATGACTGAAAAACGGCAAACTTCGCAAGGCTATATTATCCGCATTTTACAACATTTCGCAACGAAACATTGGAATATTACTAATTTTGTGATGCTTTTTCAAGCTGTGATGAAATTTTTGTCAAGGCTTGTCTTGATCAAAATCTCACTTAAAAGGGGAAAGGTCTATTAGGGATTAACAGTACGAGTGATGTTTGGAAATTGTGCCAAAATTAGACGAGCCGCCGGGGGCGAGTCCAATTTGGCAAATTTCCAAACATCACGAGTACAATTTTTTGTACAGTTTCTTGTACACATACTTGTACATTTTTTTGTTTATTATTAGCATGACAAAATTGGATACTTCTCAATGTTAACATCATATATTCTCTCGCCAAAGCCCAGTCCTGCCAGATTTTCAACCAAACTTTGTTGCTTTTGTCCGTATTTTCATTTAGTTCTTGTGTTAAAGCAAAATTTGGTGCTTTTGTTCGTATTTTCATCTAGTTCCTCTAGGGCAATTTCATTTCACGCTTGTGTTTGTTTGTTTTGGGAAAATCATTAATTGTACTGCAGTACAATTAATGAAATAATTGTACTCCTCTCAACAAATCAGCATCCAGTAATTTTGTCATGCTAATAATACTGAATAAAGTTAATCATCATCACAAATCATTACGAATTTACCAATGCAAAATTCCTACTGTGATCACAGAAGCTTTGATACTGTAAACCATGCAGCCCTGACTGGCTGCATCGGTATAGACTTGGCTCCGCTGGAAGATTACCGAGAGCTCTAGAAGCGTCTACGAGTACAAGTACACAGAGTAGATACATACAGAGCTGTAACTGGCGATCAACTGCGCGTGATCGGCAAGTTCTGCGAGCAGTTAAAGCGAGCCGCCATCCAATGGGATGCATCCTTAATCCCGTACGCGTCACTAAAGCTTCCTAATATCTCCACGGTTCCACGAGAATAAAATGTACATGCACGCAAAGACTTACCAGGCCAGATATGGTCTTTTTTAGGTCTGTTCGGAAAAACTGAATATTCATGACAAACATCCCTTCACTAACTGTGTCAAACTCTGTTTCGTTACAGCCATAGTTCATTCCCGATTTGAAAACTATAGGAGCCAAATACGCCACCCATACGATTCGATCTCCATAGAAATCTTGTTTGTACGCCTAAGGGAAACGATTATTGCAAATTGTTTATTAATCCTCTCCTTGGGGCTTATTCATTTCATGCGTTCGCGAAGAATTTTAGCCCCGGTGAAACGAGGTTGAGAATTAACTCGTAATAAGGGCCCATGCACAGTAATTGGCATATGCTGTTGTGGTGACCCTGCCCTAGTTGGCAAAGCTAAATAAATAAATAAGGGTTTCTTTCACCTTTGACCAAAACTTGGCAAAGCATTATTCTCTAGTTTTTGTTCTCGTTTGACCGGGGGCATTATTAGAAAGGGGTGATGATGAATCGAGAGGGGGCGTAAATCGTATGGGGGTATGGGGAGGGAGGAGGCACCACACCTTTTTGGACATTCGTAATATAATCTATATAAAAAGTCTGTTGGCCAGTTCCGCCCCGCCCGCCCCCCCCCCCTCCCCGTTACTTTATAACATAGATTATTGTCCTTGTTGTGAGTAGCCTTACCTCACACATAACTTTTATAAGATTATCATTCTCGAGTAGGGCAATCACGATTCTAGCATCTTTTTCCTTTAATAAAAATATCAATGAATCGATAAAAAGAAATGACTAACGAGAAACTCTTTTGCAGCGTAAGTGTTTATTTTCGAGCACTGCAATTACAGTATATCAAATGTTCGTCAGCCTGGTATTAGAGACCTTACGATCTTAGGACGGCTTGAAAGAGCATCACAAAATTATAATATTCCAAAGTTCGTTGCGAAATGTTGTAAATGCGGATAATATAGCCTTGCGAAGTTTGCCGTTTTCAGTCATTTTGTATTACGCATGGGAAATTGACAGCCCAAAATCGGGTGTTGGGGCATCAATTTCCCGTTTGTAATACAAAATTACTGAAAATTGCAAATTTCGCAGGGCTATATTATCCGCATTTTACAACATTTCGCAACGAAACTTCGGAATATTACTAATTTTGTGATGCTCTTTCAAGCTGTGATGAAATTTTTGTCTAGATCAAAATTTTAGTTATAAGGTTAAAGGTCCATTAGAAGCAGGGGCCCACCGGGGCATCGCCCGGTAGCCCGGTCAGCTAATCCGCCTCTGTGTGTAACACTAACAAGTTGTCAAACTGGATGTCATGTTCTATTTTAACAGAAATAAATTATTTCAGTGCACTGAGAATCTTATTACTTTTAGCGTGGATAATAAAATAAATGGATAGGACCCTAGCTGACGTAAGCAAAAACAACCTGGTTGCAATCTGTGACGTCACGCGTATTGCAAAGTTCTCGGCATTTTTGTTGTTTCGCTATACTTTCCGCTTTAAAAGAGTAATATTGAAGCATAAACTGGTCTAATTGTTTTAAAAACATGCCTAAGCCACGACAAAGTATTCAAGGTAAACGTCTTTCGTCTTTGTTTTGTATTTTTTTACATTTGTAGCTACGAAATTGGCGTCCCCAATTTTAACGAAATTTGGGATGCATTTTTCACTGTTTAGTGCTTGAAATACTTAGAGATTTCATCGTAGAATGGCGTAGTTATATTCATTTGCTTTTTGACTAAAATATTTAGCTGTATTATTGCTAAACATGCCGTTTTTGAGAATTTGGTTTGCAACTAGGTTTCAACATCCAATCACGCCATCAGCCCATTGAAAACATTAGGTCACGTCAGCTAGTTTCCTATCCATTTATTTTATTATCCATGCTTTTAGGAATATAACATAAAACTAATTTAGATAACATGCATCGAGGGTTAGATCCTAAAGTAAATATATATGCAAAAAAAGGCACTACAAGGAGGGATTTTGTTGGTATCTCACTTGATTCAATAATACACACGAAAAAATCTCACATATCTTGTAACAAGTCTGCCAACAAGCCGTCAACACGATGTATTCGCACTGCTTGTCACAAGTTGTCAACAGGTTTGGAAAAACTTGTTGACAACTTGTAACAACCTTGTCGAAATTATCAGACTTTGTTGCAAGGTTGTTCTGACAAGTCCGTTACATGCTTGATATATCAAGATTGTTACAACCTTGTGTTGACATCCTTGTAACATCCTTGTTATATCATGGCTGTAACAAACTTGTTAGCACAGTCTTGTAACAAGGCTGATAATACCATCAAGCTTGTTACAAGTTGTTAACAGCTTGTTCCAAACTTGTTCCAACAAACTGCATGGGAACAAGCAGTGCGAGCACAACTTGTTGACAGCTTGTGAACGGACTTGTAACAACTTGTTTGCAGACTTGTTACAAACTGTGCGTTTTTACGCGTGTAGTTTTCAACTATTAGTCCCGTGGTCTGATACTTTTCCACCCCTGTTCTAAACTTAAGAGTATGTTATGTTAAGGAAGTGTCGAAAGAGTAGAATTCGATACATGGCTCTGCATCTCAGACTGCGTTGGAAATTGCAGCAAAAATTGGAATACCTTCAAATTTTGAATAAAAGATGTTTTGTGATTTTTTGTCATATCTAATCCTTCTTCAATGAGAATGTCCACATTCTTTGCTTTTAAATTGTCTTTGAAAGCATTCATGGTCTGTCAAGAAATGAGGATAACGAAAGACTGGAACAATAAGGGATAATTCTTACTGGACCTCTATACGGAGAACAGTTTAGAACTGATAGAGCTATCCAGTATAAATAGAGTTAGTTTAGTTTAGGTGTCCTCCTGTAGTAACACTGGATCATTAGGAGATGATCCTTACTGGACCTCTAGGGAGAACAGTTTACAATTGATAGAGCTATCCAGTATAAATAAAGTTAGTTTAGTTTAGGTTTCCTCCTGTAGTAACACTGGATAAAAAAGAGATGATCCTTACTGGACCTCTAGGAAGAACAGTTTAGAACTGATAGAGCTATCCAGTATAAATAAAATTAGTTCAATTTAGGTTTCCTCCTGTAGTAACACTGGATCAAAAAGAGATGATCCTTACTGGACCTCTAGGAGAACAGTTTAGAACTGATGGAGGTATCCAGTATAAATAAAATTAGTTCAATTTAGGTTTCCTCCTGCAGTAACACTGGATCAATAAGAGATGATCCTTACTGGACCTCTAGGGAGAACAGTTTACAATTGATAGAGCTATCCAGTATAAATAAAGTTAATCAATTAATTGGAACAGTTGGCGACTTACCGGAAGATAAAAAGATTTATACTTGACATCAAGGTCGTACGCCAAAGCAACGCGTTTCCATTGAAAAAAGTTCATTAACTTGATCACAGCGCTGTTCACGGAGTTTGAAGAGGGCGCCATACTGAGGAATTTCGGATAGGTTTCTGACATCAATTCAGGACTTGACGCGCCGTATGAAACCTGAAATGAATGAACGACTATGAATAAACAATTCCAGCTAGCTATCGACTATTTTTTTTTATCTAGACAAGAAAGACGAAATATATCATTGCAGCTCAAAAGAGCATCCTAAAATTAGTACTTTGCATTTTTACTAATTTTAGGACGCTCTTTTGAGCTACAATGATGTATTTCGTCTTTCTTGTCTAGATAAAAAATTAGTCGATAGCTCAGGGAATATTATCTATTTTGGTAAATGCCTACCAGATGGCTTTTGTAGAGTTGCAACTCTCAAACTTGAGCTGGATCAGATTTTGAGAGACTTGATGAGTGTGCATGCAGGAGAGCGGCTAGCTGTTGCTCGTTTTAAGGTGGAGTAATACGAGCAACAAAATTACTGCAACTTGCAACAAAATCTGATAATTTCTACGCATGTCGCATCGGTTAATGGACAACTTGCATGTTAGACTAAATTTTAATCTAAGTAAAGAGAAGGAAATAAAACACAACAGTTAAAAAGAACATAATGAAATTAGTAAAATTGCAAAATTTGGTTGCGAAATGTTGTAAAATACAGAAAATGTAGCCTTGTGAAGTTTGCATATTTTCAGTGATTTGTATATTACGTGCGGAAATTGTTACCATTTTCGGCTCAAAAATGGTAACAATTTCCGCACGTAATATAAATATACTGAAAATATGCAAACTTCGCAAGGCTATATTTTCTGTATTTTACAACATTTCGCAAACAAATTTTGCAATTTTACTAATTTTAATAAGATCTTTACGGGAATTTACTTTTTTTCGCCTAAATAAAAAATTAGTCTAACATGCAAGTTGTCTATTGAAAATGTTTACCATACATTACAAATCACAAGGCAACATGTGTCACTGAAGGACAGGTCAGGTTTGAAGTCTGTTTATAAAATGATTGGGGAGGGAGCGTGTGTCCCAGCAACTCTCTTGGTTCCGCCGCCCCTGTTAAAGAGGCACACATCACGCAGAATTTCATATCTATATGGTCTAGATCTGCCTTATGTACCTGTAACGTGCCCCAAATCGAAGCCAGTTGAGCAGTATGAACGGCGACTTTCGTGAGTGCTGGCCCAAGAATGCAGATTTTCACTGCATTTGAGGAATTCATACTTCTGAACTCAATCAATGATTGTATTGCTTTGGCGGCCGTAAGCTGAAAGTATTAAAGTATGAAAAGATGTTACCGTATAATCTCTCTAAGTAGTTTATTCCCCGGGGTATTTTTCAGGCATTTCTGGGGGGGGGGGACTTATTGGAGGGTGGGACTTATTGGAGGGGGGAATGAATTGAAGGGGGCGGGCTTATTGAGAGGTGGTCTAAAAGAGAGGGAAGGGCCTACTATATTTTTAATATGCAATATAATATACTTCCAGGGGCATATTTTTTCAGGCACTTCTGGGGGGGGGGCGTATTGGAGAGGGGACTTATTGGAGGGGGGCTTATTAGAGAGGTGGTTTAAAAGAGAGGGAAAGGGCTATATTTCTTAATATGCAATATAATATATTTCCCCGAGGGCATATTTTTTCAGGCACTTCTGGGGTGGGGACTTATTGGAGAAGGGACTTATCAGAGAGGGGCTGGGTTTAAAAGAGAGGGAACGGGCTATTTTTGTAATATGCAATATAGTATACTTACGAGGGTATCTTTGTGATGAAATACCAGTTTATATCCCTTCAATAAGCCTTGGCTGTGGATAGTCTCAGCCGCAAGTTCAATGGCATTTTTATAACCAAAGTAGTCGACAGCCAAATGGGGAATAAGGGTGCCAATATGCAGCTCCGTTTCGTTTTGCAGAGAAAGACAAACGGCAATACCGGAGAGGAGAAGGAGTGTGGAGGAAAGCCTCATTGTACCTAGAAAGAGAAAAATATACTGAGTTAAACCTTGAACGGTCCAGTGTAGGCAGTGGCAATAATAAGAAAGATTGATAGGGATACAACTACCTGAAAAATACAAGGAGAACTTCGACGTTTCGAGCGAAGGCTCTTCTACTAACTCCCTGTTACTAACTTCACGACGAAGGCCCTTCGCTCGAAGTTCTTCTTGTATTTTTCAGGTACTTGTATCCCTATCAATCCGTTAAACTTTCTACGATCGTGATTTCATGTCGTAAAGTCGTGCATTGTGCAATTCACACTGATCGTAAGATTAATATCGGGTATTTCCATTGTCTGCCGTCATTGGTGTGTAAAATGCTTTGTCTGTCGGAAAAGAAATACAATAGATTGCCGATGAATGACGACCAGTGTGAACCAGGCTTAAACAGTGTTGTCATGGTGTTAGCCAGCAGAAAAAAATTCGGCAATTTAATAATGAAATTTGGAAATTCGATTAGCGCCACGACATTCAGACACGGCTTAAGAAATGTCTCCCAAATTATTCCTGTAATAAATTTGAACAATAAGAATTATCCTTACTGAGGATGAAGCGAGAATAGTTCAGAACTGATAGAGCTATCCAGTATAAAAAAAGTTAGTTTAGTAATAGGTTTCCTCCTGTAGTAACACTGGATCAATAAGAGATGATCCTTACTGGACATCTAGAGAGAACAATTTAGAACTGATAGAACTATCCAGTATAAACAAAGTATAATTAAAGTTATAATTTAGGTTTCCTCCTGTAGTAACACTGGATCAATAAGAAATGATCCTTCATTAGGGAGAACAATTTAAAACTGATAGAACTATCCAATATAAATAAAGTTAGTTTAGTTTAGGTTTCCTCTTGTATAATAGCAGCTAACTAATTTCTTCTATGTGTTACGTAGACATTCCTAAATTAAAATTGATGAAAATATTCGGATTACAGATGTTAATCCAAATCTTCTCGCCAAGGAAAGATCTTCGTGTGATGAATGAGTCGGTAGGGCGGCCGGGCCATAGCCCACCTCGTATAAACAGTCCCCTTAAGCCCCCAGTGTCAAACGAGGATATATGAGAGTTGATGAGAGTTGGCAGTCACGAGGTGTTACTAGGGAATTCCAAGCTCTATAGATTAACAAAATAAAGGTTTGATGGATGTTCCAACTATGTTTTAACTTAAATAAAATACATGATAGTGTTGGGAAAGCATTAACAGCTTATAACAAAGGTCATATATGAATGCCAATTCTCATCCGGCATCCCCTTTTGATCTGAGCTTTACTGACTTACTAGATTTCTGATTCATATTCGTCTTCGACTTCGATCCAATTCTATCATACAAAAACCAATGCTAACAATAACAACTCTTCCGTAAGAAACCGCTACAAAATTCACTTCCCACGTATAAACTTATCAGAATTCAAAAGTCATCCACTAAATTACATGTCATTTATGAACCTCTCTCAATGTACACATAGCAATTATCCATGTCATAATATTTCATTACAATGCCACATTTAATTTGCGTGCGTATTGAGGAACTAATGCATATTAATCATTTGTTATCTTTTAGTATATTGCAGTATATCATACACTAATACGTAGATTCAACAATTATAATCGCATAATCTGCAGCCCATAGACTTTACAAATACAAATTTGGAAAATCAAAAGAGATTAGGGGGAATACGGTGAGGTTACTTGTGAGTTTGTATTGTCAGTTTACTTTTAAATAATGATATGCTTGGCCAGTCCTTAAGTAGTTTACCGCAGGTATAAGTATAAAGCCGACTTTCTTTAATAAGACACACTCGGCCATATATGGCAGGTGGCACGTCCTTTCGGCAAGTTTTTATCTTCCTCAACAAGGTGCTTAGGGCAAGAGAAAATTATATGTCAGTGTGCCTAGAATGATACTTGCCATAGAAAAATTGATTTATACGGGAAATATACTGGATATCTCTGTCAGTTTTGTCTGTTTGTCCTCCCAAGAGGGCTATGCGTGATCCAGTGTTACTACAGGAAAAAACCTAAACTAACTTTGTTTATACTGGATAGCTTGATCAGTTTTAAACTGTTCTTTCCAGAGGTCCAGTAAAGATTATCCCTTATTGATCCAGTGTTATTACAGGAGGAAATCTAAACCAAGAAGCTCTATCAGTTTTAGTCTATTCTTCCTAGAGGTCCAGTAAGGATCACCTCTTATTGATCCAGTGTTATTACAGGAGGAAATCTAAACCAAGCTAACTTTATCCACGCTGGATATAGCTAGTTCTATCAGTTTTAGTCTATTCTTCCTAGAGGTCCAGTAAGGATCTTCTCTTATTGATCCAGTGTTACTACAGGATGAAACCTAAACTAAACTAACTTTATTTATACTGGGTAGCTCTATCAGTTCTAAACTGTTCTTCCTAGAGGCCCAGTAAGGATCATCTCTTATTGATCCAGTGTTACTACAGGAGGAAACCTAAACTAAACTAACTTTATTTATACTGTATAGCTCTATCAGTTCTAAACTGTTCTTCCTAGAGGTCCAGTAATGATAATCTCTTATTGATCCAGCGTTACTACAGGAGGAAACCTAAACTAAACTAACTTTATTTATACTGGATAACTCTAACAATTGTTAGAATTGTTTAGAATTCTAAACTGTTCTTCCCAGAGATTCAGTAAGGATCATCTCTTATAACTTATTGATCAAGTGTTGCTACAGGAGGAAACCTAAACTAACTTTATTTATACTGGATAGTTCTACTAGTTCAAAACTGTTCTCCCTAGTCCTATAGAGGTCCATTAAGGGTCATCCTTTAGCGATCCCCTGTTACTTCAAGAAGACGTCTAAGCTAATATAAACTGTATTGATAGCTCGATCAGTTCCAATCTGTTCTTTCCAGGCCAGACTCAAACCAGGCAGGAAGAAACTGGATTACCAGGAGAAAACCTGCTGTGTTTGGTAGAGTCAAACTGGAAGCACTCTTCTCATATACGACTGAGATCTGAGGAAGAAATATTCAGTCACCTGCCTATACGACAAGAACGGATAAGGTTTCTTCCTGTAGTAACACTGGATCAATACAAGAGACGGCCTTTTACTGGACCTCCAGAGAGACCCGGTGACAGCCGGAACTGATAGAGTTATCCAGTATAGAAAAAATAAGGAAAGTTCTAGTTAGCTGATAGGCAAAACCTATTTGCGGCACAGTTTAAATTATTAAAGACCATTTTATTAACTATTGATAAGGTAACTTGTAGTTTGCAATATCAATTTGAATTTTGTAAAAAGTCCTCCAACGTACGACCTCCTACGACCAACTAAAAAAAGTCCCTTTGGAAAGCTCAAAAGACCGCATTTTTAGTATTCTTGGTAGGAATTCACAATATCTTTGCAGTTCGGGTTGTATCATGTCAGCTGGCAATTTGTAAATTTTATGTAAATCCGCTGTCATCCGCAGGTTTCTGCATCAGATATATATAAGCTCCTTCACAATAATGATTTCCTTTGGGCTCGAGTGTGGCCATGAATTATTAATATAAAATATTACATCAGTACATCATGTAACTGTAGTAAAAAGTCCTTAATTTACACTTTTCCTAAAATGTTTATATATTCTCCACTATATGATGTGCTAATTTATTATCCACAAATTAAATCCTTAAGTAACATTAATAAATTTCGTAGGATGGAAAATATCAATTATCGGGTCGAAATGAAACTTACCGACTGGTGGTTAAAGTACTCAAGAATGACAATGCATATATATAAACGAGCTATATTAATATATATTTCACAACAATTGAAAGATTTTTTGTAGATGGAGGTTTTGAGTGTGAATTTTATATATATTCATTAGACCTAACCATGCAGGAACAGTTGTGAAAAATACAACTATAGATCCCTGGCAGGAATAGAACCTGCGGCCATTCCGGTGCAGCACTCTAAGGGACCTTCATTATTTACCAAGGGTGGGTTGACTACAAAATTTTTGTAGTTCGCTATAACTACAGCTACTTCAAAAATATGTAGTCAGCTACAACTACTGCTACTTTTGAACAAAGGTAGTTCGCTACTGACTACAGCTACTGCTTAAAAAATGTAGCGAACTATTTCGCTACTCTATATTTTTTAGTTTTACGGTATTTGGAGCATCCACTAGCTCAGGCTGTAATGTAACCTATAACAAATCGACTTACGAGTAGCAACAGTAAACAAAAAGGGTCAAAGCAACATTTTTGCAAGCACTACAGTGTTCAGGAGTGCCACTTTTCATTGCGCTAAAATAATCTTTACTGTATAAAATAATCTTTTAAGCAAACCGTGTCTTAATATCATTCTATTCTATGAACGGTTGCTAACAATTTTAAAAAGTAGCGAATAGCGATTCGCTGTTTGAAAAGTAGTCAACTATTTGGCTACTTTTAGTCAAAATGTAGTTCGCTATAACTACAACTACTGTTTTAAAAAAGTAGTCAAAAACTACAGGCTACTTGAAAATTGTAGTTCGCTACAGTAGCGAACTACAACTACTTCGCTACTACCCACCCTTGTTTTATATTTACACCTGGGGTTGGTACCGAAGAGATATGGGTTGGGTAATCAAGTTTTTGACTAGTTCATGGGTTGGGTAAAAAAATTTATGGCTGTCTGTCAGCTATAAAATAAAACTAAACCATGTATTGGAAAATATGAAGAAAAATGTGCACAATACATTCTGTACCAAAATAGACCATCAGTGATTGAGGGAGGACTCTATTATTGATCAGCAGGAACGTGGTTCCCTTGGCACACTCAGTGAGTTTGAGTTTGAGTTAGCTTTTAAAATTTAGGCAACTTGATTTCTGTCACCATATAATCTTGTGTGTTTAATTATTATTAAGTACAGTGACACATGGGTTGGGTAAACATTATTTTGACCAATGTTGAGGTTGGGTAAATAAAAAAATTACAGTGTTTTTCGCTTCTCTTCGGTACCAACCCCAGGTATAAATAATGAACGGTCTCTAACCAACTGAGCTACAGAGTCCAGTTGTCGAGCTCTAACCAACTGAGCAACAGAGAAACAGTTGTCGAGCTCTATAACCAACTGAGCTACAGAGAAACAGTTGTCAAGCTCTAACCAACTGAGCAACAGAGTCCAGTTGTCAAGCTCTAACCAACTGAGCTACAGAGTCCAGTTGTCGAGTTCTAACCAACTGAGCTACAGAGTCCAGTTGTCGAGCTCTAACCAACTGAGCAACAGAGAGACAGTTGTCGAGCTCTAACCAACTGAGCTACAGAGAGACAGTTGTAGAGCTCTAACCAACTGAGCTACAGAGAGACAGTTGTCGAGCTCTAACCAACTGAGCAACAGAGAAACAGTTGTCGAGCTCTATAACCAACTGAGCTACAGAGAAACAGTTGTCAAGCTCTATAACCAACTGAGCTACAGAGTCCAGTTGTCGAGTTCTAACCAACTGAGCTACAGAGAGACAGTTGTAGAGCTCTAACCAACTGAGCTACAGAGAGACAGTTGTAGAGCTCTAACCAACTGAGCTACAGAGAGACAGTTGTAGAGCTCTAACCAACTGAGCTACAGAGAGACAGTTGTCCAGCTCTAACCAACTGAGCTACAGAGAGACAGTTGTCCAGCTCTAACCAACTGAGCTACAGAGAGACAGTTGTCGAGCTCTAACCAACTGAGCTACAGAGAGACAGTTGTCGAGCTCTAACCAACTGAGTTACAGAGAGACAGTTGTCGAGCTCTAACCAACTGAGCTACAGAGAGACAGTTGTCGAGCTCTAACCAACTGAGCTATAGAGAGACAGTTGTCGAGCTCTAACCAACTGAGCTACAGAGAGACAGTTGTCGAGCTCTAACCAACTGAGCTACAGAGAGACAGCTGTCGAGCTCTAACCAACTGAGCTACAGAGAGACAGTTGTCGAGCTCCAACCAACTGAGCTACAGAGAGACAGGTGTCGAGCTCTAACCAACTGAGCTACAGAGAGACAGTTGTCGAGCTCTAACCAACTGAGCTACAGAGAGACAGTTGTCGAGCTCTAACCAACTGAGCTACAGAGAGACAGTTGTTGAGATCTAACCAACTGAGCTACAGAGAGACAGTTGTCGAGCTCTAACCAACTGAGCTACAGAGAGACAGTTGTCGAGCTCTAACCAACTGAGCTACAGAGAGACAGTTGTCGAGCTCTAACCAACTGAGCTACAGAGAGACAGCTGTCGAGCTCTAACCAACTGAGCTACAGAGAGACAGCTGTCGAGCTCTAACCAACTGAGCTACAGAGAGACAGTTGTCGAGCTCTAACCAACTGAGCTACAGAGAGACAGTTGTCGAGCTCTAACCAACTGAGCTACAGAGAGACAGTTGTCGAGCTCCAACCAACTGAGCTACAGAGAGACAGTTGTCGAGCTCTAACCAACTGAGCTACAGAGACACAGTTGTCGAGCTCTAACCAACTGAGCTACAGAGA